GATCCAAAGCACGGTACAAAACAAGGAGAAGACTGCAATGTCAGGTCGCTTGAATACTTGGACTGTCGGTGGCTTCCTTCTGCTAAACAGGGTCCTAAATATGTATGTGTATTTTAATAGCTGCTGTTTGTTGCACCAGTGCATACTAGCATGGAACCGTGCCTGCTAGATCTTCTTTGCTAGGACAGTGAAAGCACACTTATTTTCTCTTAAACTGGACTCCACTGTAGACTTTTGAAGCTAAAAGTTTAAATTTTTAATCTAAATAATCTCTTATTTTCCCTCTGAAATTCCATTGCATGCTTCAAAATGAAATAAATTGAATTAATGAGTTAGTGTTACAACCAGACTGATTTATTGCAGTAATTTCAGAACAAAATGATACAAAGGAAACTGTATCAGCTAACATAATCACTCATATAAAGAACATAGCGATTTGATTTATCAGATGTGGAAGGACCTTTTTGCGCCTGATTCCTCATTTGATTCCAGTGCAATGACTCATATCACTCCAAAGCAAATAAGAAATACCGCTACTGTGATCTGATGGTATTGTACATTCATTTTTCACCAGTGTACACAGCAACAGCATCCCTGGGGAATTTGCGTCTGCCACGTCTACAGAGGATAGGAATTACTGTATAAAATCCGGCTCTTTAGGTCAAGTCATAAAGGATTTTCATTTCTGCGGAGTCTAGTTCATCTCCTGTTTGTATCAGCCAAAAGACAGTCATTACACACGCATGCTTCAAAGCAATGAAGAATTAGATTCAGTACAATTTCCTGTTTTAATGCGACATACTTTTAAAATAAAATTAAAAAACCCTGTCATCTAAAGAAGTACAGAAGAGGTATTTTCCACTGACCTTTTTCTACCACATGAATTTAATTTACTTTTCTTCTAAGATGATTTCAGGTTTCTAGACAACTAAACTCTGACTTTGTATAGGTATAGAAGATCCCAATATGAGTTTGTTTATGGCTTAGATGGCTGTTATTTTTACGTATATAATGCTCAATAATATAGCTGTATTCTTCTTTTGGTATTCGATGCAAAATGTCAGATGCACTAGAGCCAAAGATACGAACACCAAAAGAATAAGAAAGGAAAAAATACAGACTTGGCCACACTAGGATGGTGCAAAACTGGGGAGAAATTGTGTTGTCACGCCAAAAGTGTGAATACTTTCAGAACTTGTGAAAAGCTGTATAAATAAACTAAAAGCTCTCTTTAATACTTTCTTGTATAATCAGATTTTCCCCTGCAGGTCACTCTCTCTCACCATAATCATAACAATGTTGTAAGAGATTAAAACTTGACAAGAAGACACGTGTGTGCGTGAGCTAGGCACAAACACGCTGCTCTTCGAATTCCAGGAACGTTTGTTTTGCATTGAGCTTTCTTAAACTGAGATACTTCTTGTGGCCACCAAGGGAAAATCCCCAGGGCTGTCCAATAACCAGTTTTTTCTTTCCTCAAGATAACTAATTACAAAATTAATTTCTAATATTCATCTTATTGAAAGAGCTGAGACTTGAGTGCCGTTGCATAAGTGGCAGTGCAAGTTACCCTTCTCTGTAAAGAGCCCTATTCTTGGCGGCTTCAGGGTGACTGGTTTTAACTAATCACCGTCATCTGGGGGTTTATTCCGCAATCCATTAACAAAAAAATACAGCAAGCCCACCGAAATGAGCACAGCTCCGGTCTGCCGTTGCGGGCGGGATCAGTGCGTGGTCGCAGTCAGGCCCCTGCGACGGGGCTGTTACTCGGTGTCACAAAAGCACCGCAGAGCAGTTTTGCACCCTCTCCCCCGAAGGCTTACGCTGCGGTCGGCGTGCTGCCGGCTGAGCTACTGTCTTCTTGGGACGTTTTAAATATGGGAGGTTCTTCCTGGGCCTGGTGCTAAGCCTGTGAAATCACTGGAAGACTGTCTCCAGTGCTCATATCTGAAAACCAGAATGAAATCCATTTTTTCCAGGAAGAGAATATTGCTTACTTATATATTTTGTATGTGCTTTGCTCAATATATTGCACAGAGAAAATGCTGTTCTGCCACAGAAATGGTCAAAGACATACACGAGTGTGAGCAGAAACCGTACCAGGCAGTCTTCACCCCGTGTTGGCAGGAAACACACAGCATTATTCTGTCCCGAAAGGCACATTTGCAGGTTAAAATGGTTGACACACATCAGGTGAGAGAGATGGTGAGTTGGTTATTGATAAAAGTACTATTTTGCAATCTGTCATCACTGCTAGTAGGTATATATCAGCATCAGTAAAGTCCAGTGTCGTTTTTTGCCATGAATACGAAATTCTTGCATATAACAGAAAATAACCTGACTTAAATCTTCTGGAATGAAACAAATTAGCTATAGAATTTTTTTTTATTTTCCGTGTGTTAAAAGCACAAACTGGTGATCTATATGTAAATAAACTGCTACAAGATGAATGTAAACTGGGAAAGAATATACTATTTTTGCATGGTAACAGATTACTTAAAGACCTCTTGATGCCTTACAGAAAATTTGGAAAAGCATTTTATTTAGAGGCAATTCTACCTGCGTACTTTTTGTATCTTTAGCTCACTTTGGTTTTGTCTGTGGAAAGAAGAGCGATCAGGATTAGATCTTTGTTTCTTCTTGGAATTAACATTCTTCGGTACTTTGCACATTCAATGGTTTCTACACCACCTTTACTCCTGTTAAATGATGAAGCTGAGGCTATGCTTTTCGGAGGAGAAACCTGGATGCTTGTAGTCTGGATTTTAGATCCCTGGAATTGTTCCAAAACGAAGCGTTTCCTGAGGCATCTTAGAGCCCCTTTAAGCCCTTCGCTTCATTTCAGCTTTTCGTTATGTATTTTAGCAAAGTACAAGCAGCGAACAAATGAGGCATTTTCGTAAGCGTTGCCTATTCTATTTTCAACTGAAAGTGAAGGGGCTAAAATAGAACATATACATTTGTGTAAAAAAAAAAATCTTAACTGTAATTAAAGATTTTTCGGTTTTGGTATATTAGCATGTACATCAAAAGGCATCTATGGAAACTTTTGTAAAGAATTAAATTGTCACATTTCTCAAAACCGCTTGTAAGATCTTCTCGTGGACTGACATACAATAAAAGCTCTTTTATAAAATCCGTTGTTACTCCAGCACTGTCCTCACAACTGGTATGAAGTCGTTCAGAATGCGTGCTTATACTAAACATGTTGTTTTTTTTTTTTAAATATACATAAAATAACTACCAAAGGAATATTGGAACCTGAGATTGATTTTAGCAATCTTCTACGAAAAAATTGTTGCAAAGTTCTCTGAAGATGCAGCAGTCTTTCTGTAATGGTTTCTTTTTTTATTTTAAATCAGTAATAATATAACCGAATGTATATGCTTGTTTAATATGAATTGACAATTGGGAATGCATAGTATTTTTTCAGCCTATGTGTCTAAAACAATAAAGTTTAAAAGCATTCAGTCTCTGTCGCAGTTTTTGCGTGCACTTGCATCTCCCCCTTCACGTGGAAATCCAGCAATGCCAAAAAATTATCTCAATTTTTCATGTTAACGAAGCAACGAGACTCCTCTGCTCGATAAACTGAAACAAGGGGTCTGATCGGTAAAAGGTATATAACGTACACAATTTCGATTGCAAGATGTAGTACTATAAACCCTAAATCTATCAGCGTCATTTATTAGCCAAAACCAGTCAAAGGGAGCAGCAGCGCCCGGCACAGCCCCCGGGAACGCCAGCAGCAGGGGAACGGGAGCGGGAACGGGAGCAGGACCAGGCATGACTATGCACGGACAACGACACACTTCGGTTTTTGCATCAGAAACCGGCGGCTGCTGTTCGGCTCAAGGGAAACTGCCGC